TTTGTCCAAGTTTTATATTGGTCCACTACTTCAAATGCAGTTCAAACAGACATGTATTAAATTGTATGTTCCGTTTTAATTTGGTTCAATCTGTATATCAATATGCAATAAAACAAACTTATAACAGTGCAAAACATATTAGTGCAAAATATAGGTTTTTAAAATTATTTCGGTCAATTTTTTATGCATTTAAATTTTGAAACTTGCAAATTAAAGAACCACTTAAAGATTTATAACTTTTATTTAAACCATTATTCTCTAAATAATTGTTATGGTAATTGTTTTTGATAAATGTTAAAAAAAAACAAAGCAAAATTATCTATAGCTTCATGTTTGTTTTTCTTAACTGACCTAATTGGATTTTAGATCTCCAACATTAAAAATCATTCGTAACAACAAATATATGTTGCAGAAATGGAGTTGCTTAGTTGGATAAGTGAAGTGGATAATTAGTGGAAGCGTACTTTTAAATATTTACTCTAGTTTCAAACCAACAGCGTAGTTTCCTTGGTAATTGGCTATAAATTATTTTTATTTTAATAATATTCAAATCTTCAGTTAAGCACACCTGGTCCCATTTGTTTATTGGTTCCATAATTTAATTTTAATGCTTTTAAAAGAAGAGCAAATTAAAAATATACGCTAAGCCCGGCTTGAGTCGGAATACGCCATTTGTTTCTGATGTTATGGTTATGTGGTTATTTTATGGCGTGATAATAAAAGGCTGGTGAACTCTTATACGACAAAGCTGTTTTACCGAGATAATTTGTCAGTGGTTTTAAGTGGCTCTAAAATAGCTGTTTCTCTCCATAAAACCGCTATCCATTACGCCCTCCATAGTTTTTTAGTTTACAGGAAGTCTGGTCATAAATTTTACTTGGAATATCAAAATATAAATTATATTTGTGGATGCTATAGATATATTTAAATACTTTTTTCTATTAGTTAATATAGTTAATAATTAATAAGCAGGCCGGTCATATAGTTCTGATATCATATTTTTTCTATGTTTTATAACAGATTTATAACGTTTTTCCTAAGTATGTATGTTATGTTCTTTTATAGTTTATTTTTATAACCGAGAGAGTAATTAGCATAATTTTAACTGGTACCTTCGACCACTCCATGGGCGTGCTCAAGATTAATTGAAAAATTACTTTGAATAATTGTAAAAAATAAATGAATTATTTCAGTGTTATAAAGTGTTATGTGTATGTAAACAAAAGTGACCTCTTTTATCACACACTATATTAGAACTGACTGGCCTATATTAAAAAGGGTTTTAAAAAATTCACATTTTTTTTAATTTTTAAAAATTACAAAAGAGAAAAAGAGTTTTTAAAACCGTCTAAGGTATGTTAAATAGATGAATAAAAATATTAATATAAAACTTACAGCTACTTGTTACAAATCCAAATCAGATTCAGAAGATGAACTTTCAGAACCAAGATTTATAATAACTGACTCGATCATTTTATCAGTAATATTGTCCAGCTTCCATATTTTTTCCTCTTCTTTAATAGTGTGATTTACTGCCTTTTCCCAGTTTTCAGGTTTTACATTATTTACAGCCTGCAAAAACAACTGTTTAACATCATGAATTTTAAAAGTGGTATTTTTTCTTGAAACTTCACTCTTTATCTGTGTCCATACCAGTTCAAGCGGGTTTAATTCACAATGATATGGTGGGGATCTGAGTACTGTCATTCCACGATTTTTGGCAATTTCATCAATTTCGTATTTTTTAAATTTTTCTTTATGAAGGGCACACAACGAATAAAGTTCCTTTCTTATAGATCCGGGATGGTACGTAATATTTTTTGAACTCAGCCAATTCTGCAAGTCTTTTTTTTAACCACTTGGTTGTGGGCAGTCCTTCTATAAGTCTGGAGTGATAACTTGCATTATCCACATCCACTACTATTACACAGTTCTTAGGAAGAAGATCTACCATTTGTTCGAACCATTCTTGAAAGACATCAGCGTTCATGTCTATGGTAGTCACCGGTACCAGTTGATTCAAAAGTTAATAAACCACCTTCAACAAAACCGTCTGAACTGCCAATGTGTACTATTATCAGCCTGCGTCCCTTTCCTGATGGTGGGTTTAAACCAGTAGATAAGTTATTTACAAAAGCGTGCCTTTGACTTGTAACAGTTTCATCCTGCCAAAATTTATTTGGTGTATGACCCTCGTTGATCCATGTTTCATCAAGAAAAATTTTTTTTCTTTTTTGGTTTCTTATTTCCTTTATGGTTCTTAGAAAATGTCTTCTCCATATGACAATATCGCTTCTTTCTAATAAAATAGACTTTCTGGGATTCTTTTTCCAGCGGAAGCCTATTTCTTTTAAAAGTTTCCATAACGTACTTCGACTCATTTCTGGGTAATCCTTATGATCTCGAACTGAGACAAGAACTTTATCCAATGTTGGAAATTATTGTCTAAAGAAGAATTCATGCACTTTCCGTCGAAGTCCTTCTTTAAAATGATATTCTATTTGAAATTTTGGTTTCCCTGGAGCATTACGTGGCATTTGAAAACTACCACATTTCTCTTCTTTAATAACTCTGTAAATCGTATATTTCCCAACACCAAGTGTACTGCAAGCTAACTCAACGGTCTCATCAACACTTTCACATAAACGTTTGTCTGTAAATGATTTAAAACAATTAAATAATAATGTTTTTTCATTAACTGTTAAAGGACCAATTTTTCGGCGTTTACACGGCACTTCCAAATTTTCCATAACACTAGTATACACAATAAACTGCACCTTGCAACTGAAGTACCTACTTTTAGTGAACTGTTAAGAATTTTGAATACACCACTTTGACCTTCCTACAAAATGGAAAAACCCACTATCACATTTTCTGTGGAATAAGTTTAGAAGGTAATTATCTAGTCAATTACTGTCGTAGATTCCTGGAATTAAAGAATTAAATGTTTGATTGTTGAAACCCTTACTTCGTGGAATGCACTCATTTCAGATAAAATAAAACGTTTTATTTTATCTAAAGAATTAAACTTTATTTTGCAAATAGGTAGGTACTTATTAAACTTTTATTAGTTATATATAACCAATAAAATAAACATCTTACATTTCTTGCAAATTCATTAGTACCTGTTAACCTCCATCACTCCGACACTGGCAACCTTATTTAGGGATTAGTAACCCTCACAACTATTGTATTCTATTCTGCTCCAATCTTTATACCTGGTGGTCATACTCAATTTAAAATTGTTTTCCTATATACTTCTGTAAACTTGTTGACAAATATCTGTTTTTCATTGAGTCACCCGTGTCAACAGTTTAGGGATTTGCCTACATAATTTATTGTTTTATTACTCTCTCATACATAAAAATACACTATAAATTACTTGTACTGGTAAACGTATTAGAACAAATTTCACAATTATATGGTTTTTCTCCTGTGTGCATCCATGTCTTTTTAAGTCAGCTGTTTTGTAACTTAAAGCATATCTGGTATTGGTAAGGTTTTATCCCAGTGTGTACACTATCTTTATGCCGTTGTACAGTACTTGCTTGAGAAAATAATTTACAACAAATTTCACACTTGTGTGGTTTTTCTGCAGTATATATTCTTGTGTGTGCCTCCAGATTGCTTGTACTGGAGAAGAACTTTACACTGGTAAGGCTTTTCACCAGTGTGCATTCTCATGTGTAGTTTCAAACCACCTATTTGAGAAAACGAGTTCAAAAAAATTTTACATTGACATGGTTTTTCCCCAGCATGTGTTCTTAATATTTTGTCAAGTCATGTGCTTTGTAAAACAACTTGAAGCATATCTCACATGGAAGAGATCTTTCTCCAATAAAAGTATTTGTAAATAGTATAGAACTGGTGTGCCAGTTAAATGCCAAATCATAGTTGCCTATACACTATACAATGATCTTTTTTAAATTGAATGGAAAGACATACATTCAAAATACTGGAGCCATAACTTTAAATACCTAATTTTAATCCAAATATAATACTTGTAGAATCCATTAAATGGAAGGAAAACAAGAACGAAATAAATTTGCGGAAAAAGAATGGAAAATCATAGAAAATATTGAGTTTTCCCATGTTGGATTTAACCATTCTGTTAAACATGAAATAAAGCAGGATTTATCTATAGGATACTTACTTAATAAAACCATTTATATTATCGATAGTTTCTCCTCAGGCCAATTAAACATGGAAGTTCCTGTTGAAGAGATCAAAGTAGAGGAGGTTTAAATCAGAAGGAGAATATAATGGAAATAATTCTAATTCAGCAAATATAGCTGAAAGTGTGAAATTCCCATTGCCTGCGCTAACAATAAAGTCGTCGTTTGAGGAATGCGCATCATGATTGTCACGCGTTTTCACACTTTCAGCTATATTTGGCAAACTATAAGCATTACCGGAAATTCCTTGTAGTGAGGAGCCACATATCAATCCTCACACTGAAGACAAACTTTTTAAGCGTGAAATTTGTTTCACACTGAAAATTTTTTCGAAAAATGGTACTTTGTTCTATAACGTTTTGCTTAATTTTTTATTGGGATCTGCGCCTTATTTTTATTATTTGCACCATATCCATATTTCTTGTTATCATACACTAAATATATTCGACATCGTGTGGCAGTCAAAAGATGTTATGAATAATAACCGTATTCAGAAACTAGAGATTTACAAATATCATATATTGTGAAAGCAATGTTATATATTTTGCATCTGACATCAACTTTGGCCCCTTAATAATATACGTGCCCAGAACGTTTTATCTTACGAATGTTTCATTGCTGCGTTGACAGTGATTGAAAAAAACGTCCCCAACAAAAAATACAATTGTGTCACTGCAATATTTTACGTTTCTGCTTTCATATAAGAAACGGTTTAAAAAGAAAAATTTTAGGTAAAGGAACTATCTTTTTATTGGAGAGAAGTCGATCAAAGACTATAAAATTATGAGACAGAAATCAATTAAGTGCCAAGACTGCAAGGTATAAATGGTTAATCTTTTGTGCCCCTTTAAACAATACTACAAACAGAACACCAAAAGTGAGAGAAACAAAATTACACAGCACAAAACGAAGAGATATAAATTGCACCTTTTATTTGAACCAAGTAATAAACATCTTTTTGAAGCTAGATTAGAAAAGAAACTAAATGAGGTGAAAAGAAATATAGATATAGAACAAGAATACAACAACCTCAAAACGATAATAAAACAAATTGCTTACGAAGTATTAGGAGCAGAGAACAACGACAAAAAACACCACAAACCACCATAGATGACAGAAAACGTAAACAAAATGATACAAGAAAAAAACAAAATATATAAGAAATGGCTAACAAATAAAACATCTAGCAACATAGTAACATATTCAAGGAAAAACGGAGAAGTGCGCAATCAAATAAAACAAGCAGAAAACAATTTCTGAGAACAAATATGTCTTTAAGTTGAAAATTTATTTGTTGGTTCTCAAACTATGAAAGCATGGAGAACTATCACTAATCTAAAGAAAAACACCCATAACTCAGCTTAATTCCTATAGAAAGGTGGGAAAATCACTATAAAAATTTACTCCAGGAGTCGAGATTGGAATATATGGGAGACGAATACAGTATGAAGAGAAAAAAATAGTAACATTAATACAACATACTAACATTTATGACATATTTAAGACCTGTACTAAATTTAAGTCGTAAATTAATGCAAACTCAGCAGTTTTTCGTTAATTTAGTGTGGGCTATACCTTTTCCCAGGCATTGGTATATCTAGATATAAAATATCGTTGTTTAATGTCGTTTTTGATAATATATTTTTAACTTTATTTATGAGCAAATCTCCTTGGAATTAAAATTAAAATGAATGAAAGAAAAATATTTCTAAAAATAGAAACAAAGCCGTCGTTCTTTATAATCTTAACGAAAATTGACGCGATTTATTTTCTTTAGAATGCCGTCTCTTGGTGCATAAAACTCCTTCAAACAAAAACGACAAAGACCGAGTCAGAAAAACGTCCTGTACTAATTTCTAGGATTCTCTTCGACATTCCATTTACTGTTCCACTCAGCTAGTGAAATAAAGGCGTTATGACTTCAAAGAGTTTCGCATACAATAATGAATATGATAAGAGAACCGGAATGGAAGCTCGGGCTCACGAAAGAGGCGAGGGCCATATAATTAGGTTCATTTTATGTATTTTACAGAAATCTTCTCTCAAATTACCTTTTCTATCGCTTTGTTCGATACAAAAGATTCAATTAACTAGTAAGCGTTGCGAAAAGTTTAAAGATAACGTTTTGGAGAAATCTTGAGCGGCTCCCGCATGGATTAGGATATTACTCTGTCAAGTTGATAATCATTTTTAGATACTTCATAAATGGAATCTTCTGGATTCCATTCCAAATCTGGAAACAGATTTCTTTAATAAAATTATCCATTTGATAATGTGTAGAATCAGACTTGTGCTACATTAACCCAACTGAATTTTCATGGCCACTTTTCCCAAAACAACGACGGATGGTACTTTTTAATTTATTCTATAACTTACCACAGATACAATTGACCCAGATTGGGTCACTACTACATTTTAACTGTGTGCTAATTGACATGCCAGCTAATTGACCTAATGTCAATCTACACGTCTTTGGCATTAAACTAAATTCAAATCGAACTCAATTTACACGGCATATATATTTGTATCGTCTTATATCTTTGGCTTCAACAGTATCAGTTTTTGTGGTGTCAATACCCATTCTTTCCTATCCAAAAAGGATAAGCAGCTGAGTATTTTTTTAGAACATGGCTTATCTTGTAGGCCTCCGTGAAAAACTCAGGAAAATAATTTTGGATACCAGAGCCAACGTACTGCTTAGTGAATTGAAAATCAAAATTTTAGCTGGAAATAGATTATGAAATAAAATTAATGGGAAAATCACAGTAGTTGGCTGTATACCATCGTTTAAAAAAAAACATAGAAGTTAAAACACTCCACACTTGTATTGTGATATAAAAACACATAGTTAAAACTTTTTAAAAAAGTGTCGTCAAAATTTATGTACTAGCATAACGTTTTCGATATGAACAGATCATCCTCAGTGCCTTATGTAATTGAGGCTAACAATAAAGTTATCGTTGAGACCTCCATATATGGGTTTACATCATTCCAAATTTTAAATTTTAATTATGTTGTGACTCTAGGGACAATGGTTGACTTCTTTAATAAAGAACTCAACATCATAAAAAAATAGCTGTCAACAATGGTTATGATCCTTTTATAATAGATAAACTCATCCATAAAAGACAATCTAGATTGCTTCAAAATTCTGCTTTCAATCAATCTATTTCTTCTACTCCAATTTACAGGTGTTTACCATATCACACTCCCAAACTATCTGAAAACATCAAAGGTATTATAATTAACTCATCAGAAAACACACACATATCTTTTAAAGTTGGAAATACTCTTAACCATTTGTTGACAAATACTAAGGATGCAATACCCTATATAAACCGTAGTGGAGTTTACAGACTGACTTGTTCTGATTGCGATACCTCCTACATTGACAGGACTTTTAGGTCACTTTCAACCAGTGATTTTAAACCAAAATTGTCACCTTTTTAACAGATTTTTTCAAATTAAATCGTAAGGCAAGCGTTTAAATTTGTTTTATCTAAAAAAACATTTTGTACTTTTGAAAAATCTTTATAATATATTAATTGATACCGATTATTTATTAATAAGGTAAAATAAAGAAGATGGCTAATAATTCTAATATGGTTTTGATGAGATTATTCGTGCGTATTTCCGGATAACTCCAAAGCGGATTCAATTACATTAAAAGCCGTAAATAAACCGATGCTTACAATGTCTGTTCAGGAATTGGGAATTTGGGGTAGGGTGCGAAGGGATAAACAACATTAATTCGGCGTATTTTATTCGCCTGAAGCTATTTGTTTAGGGAATATTTGTCACGTTTCTTTTTTAATATTAATTATGATTACATCTGTTTTTTATTGTCACTATAATTTATTAGGTTATGTAGTCCTCATTATTCCCTCAAAACTTTATTTGGAAGATAATTATAAGATAAGAATATGATTAATGATATTAGATTAATCAAACTAAAGTAATATAAATTTACAGATAGAAAACAAATGTGAGAACATATTTTTTATTATCGAAGGTACGTGATAAATGTTTTGAGAGTTAACTTTCCAGGTTTTATCAAAGAAATATTGGGATTTTGATAAAAATCTAAAGCCGGAATCAGACAGCTCGTGAAATGGCGATCTTCGTTGGTTTACGTCCGCAAAGAGAAACAGAAAATCAACATTAACGCTCAGAAAAGAAACAACGGTTGACATCCCACAAAACTGTGAAATTAGAATTTTTTACAATTGATTGGACCTTCTTCCGGAAAGTGTGCTATTTGCACACGCAAATAAGACAGAAACTCGAGGATTAAGTGCAAGAAGTGCAAAAAATACATATGTCAAAAGTGTGTAAAGATGTGCTGAACGTCCTACAGCAAGAGCGTTTGACAGTTCGAACCGTGGGAGTGTCGATAATCACGCATCCATTTCCATGACAAGACGACCAGGTGGGATCCGGAGCGGCTGGCGTAGTTGTGGCTACGCTCTAGGCTCCCTGGTCGCCAATGCATTGAATCTGCGAGCCAACCCGGACGGAGAAACTTCCGCAGTGAGGATTATGCTCTGTCCTTAATCAAGCAGAACCCGTGGGTATAGTGAATTGAACGTTACCGTCAACTCTGACTCAGAGTATGACGTGGACCTGCACAATCAGATATTTCGATTGCGGGAGCGTTTAGCGCTTCCGCTGGACTGAGGTGGAAGCGAGTAAGTCTGCGTGCGATCGAATTATTCGCGTATTTTATGTTTTGTTAGTAATAATAATTTTTCTTTTAGAGACGTCCGCCGGGGAATTTACTCTCGCGGGATCCAGGCGGATATAGAATATATTTTATTTTTACTTTTGTACATACGTTAAAATTAATAGATTTATTTTTATTTTAACCTGTGTTTTACTGTGTCTGTCGCTTCGAAACAGATACCCGTCACAAGTGTACCTAGATTACATTAACTAAAACTAAAAACTATTATAGTCAACAATTTTGTACTTTTCTGAATATATTTGATTTTCTGCAAACAGGTGTTTTATATTTGGGGTACCATCTGTACCTTTAGTAGTAAAATAAGACAACGTTTAATGGGTAGTAATGCAGTAAAATGCATGTAACATACAATCCTAAATTTCGAAAAAGTTTGACCATTATTGTAACATGACTGTTATGCTTTATGAGAAATCGTTTTATTGCGAGATTCAAAATGTTTGTTGAATTAGTAAGATTTGATTACTTTTCTATATACGCACTTTGACCATATTATTTTAAAAATACTTTTTTATTTAAAGTTACAACTAAATAGTATAATTTCATATGAAATATGTATCAGAAAGACTAGCCAAAGAATGCTATATGTCTTTTGGCAGCTTGTAAAAAATTGCATAATTTTTCCATTTTCCCGTACCTTATTACGAGAAAGCAATATCATTCCGTAGACACAACATAGTTCGTTGAATAATAATAAGAGCAATTTGCGAAAAAGTGAAAAAGAAATGCTACGTGAAGAGTACAAGCAAGAACAAGGGCAGAAGTCAGTGGTGTAGTTTAAACTTGTGTTTAAAAAGTATTAAAACATTAATATTAGTAATTAATGCTGATACTGTATCGAATTTTTAAATTTGTCTTTTTTTTCTTCTTCTTTAGTACAGGGAATAAGCTTTGATTAAGTCGTCTTTATAGGTAGTATGCTCATATTTTTCGTGGTTTGCCTTTTTGGATGACTATTTGATTGCAATTAAGGATTTTTGCAATATTCAATTTTGACTCTATAAATAGGTTTGTATTGATCTTTTAAATGTATCTATAACTATAGAAAAGACAGGTAAGATTTGATTTCACCTATAGTGACTCTACTACTGGCTTATACGTATTTCGTCATAGCAAGAGTTATCAGAGCGACTGGTACAGAAGCGTAGGGTTCTGCTGGCATTAGGTGCCCAATGTGGGTTCCCCTTCCGTCATGGAAATCGTAAACTTTCTGTTGGATAGAGGAACATGTGTAGTGGGGCTTACAAGAATGGAGTTTTTGTCACTCACAGATGAAGCTAGGTTTTGTCTCTACCCTGATTAAAGAAGAGTGAGAGTTTGGAGAGGACCTGGTTAAAAATATATACTCAGGAATGTACAGGGTGTTTGT